GTTTATTTTCCCCCATATCATGGCTCACCTTCTAATATACTATATGATTTACTTATTCATAATATTTACTTATACATTTATTACTAGTCTTGACCACTAAAATATAAACTCCCTGAGGGCTTGGAGTGTGGATTGTTGATTGATGTGTTTATTTGACAGCACCAGAACAGTGCCTTGCGTACAACAGGCTCTTATTAAATACTTGCTGAATTAGGGATGACAGGTTAGTTCAGGTGGTTAGAGTGTGGTGCTGATAACACCAAGGTTGCTGGTTTGATCCCCAGCCCCCCACACACAAAAAAACTTGCTAAATTAATTTTCTTGTTTAAAGGCTGATGCTGGGGCTGTCTATTCTAGAAAAAAGGGAAGTTATTTGCCTTATGTGAACTAATAAAGAAAAATCTCATTGTTTGGGAGAATTTGAGACAACGTTGGCAGTGGGGAGGTCTGTTGCTGTTGTTGCTCATTCTCCTTTCCTAATCTCTTCTAAAGAGTGGAAATCAACACACACAGGGGAGCCAGGCATGGAGCAGCAATGAGCCTGAGCTGGTAACAAACTGCTGTACTAAGAAAATGGTTGGCATTCCGGATCTAGAAAAGAAAGTTTAGTTTAGACTGGTTGAGGGGATGGGAAGAGGGGAAGTTTTCCCTTCTCTCCTCTCCCCACAGCAGTGATTTAATGAGTCTTAGCAATTACACACAAACACTTGAGGATCAAAAGAAGATTAATTAGTAATGCTATTTAACACCCCCTCCCTCTATACAGAAAATGTAAAGTGTAATCTGAAGAGTCTTAAGCAGACCAACAGTTCTGTTTTAATTAATTAGCTAATAGAAATCAGTTTTCCATTATACTGTCAGTCTCTTTTTGTTCAAAAAGAAATGATCAGGCAATTATTCCTATTATACCCCAAACCACTCCTTAAAGAAGTGTTTTTAGGATGCCTTGGCATTTATGACTGGAAAGAAAGAAATACTCTTAAACATCCCAAGATCTTGGAACACTAAAACAAAATATGAATATGTATTTATGTCTTCCTAATTACCAGCTCTTTCATTTCAGGCAACTTAGTTATAAACTAAAACAAACTTCAAGGCAAAAACAATGAATCAGCTGAAGCATAATTATTTATGAAGACTGTGGAATAAAATGAACAATAGAAGCATAATAAGATTACATTCAATCATTTTAATAATAAAAATGTAATGTAGTTACATTTAATAATTTTTGTTCTCCCTAATTTTGATAGGAACATATCAAAATTCGGGAGAACAAAAATAAAGCAATTTTGAGGAAATGTCTCTTGACACTATTTCATGAAAATAAAAACCTTAATGAAATAGAATGCTGTTTTCTAGCATTTAAAAAAATACAACAATGTATGTTTGTCTATACGGTCGTGTGAGCCCCTTACCCGTCCACACCCCCTTTAAGAATGGTTCCACTACCACTCTTGTGCTCTCACACTGTACAGTGGACAGATGGCTGATAGACCTAAGATTTTTAAAATGGCTATTTCAAGTTATTTAAATGCTACTAGGTCATCAAAGCTTAAATCCCAATCATTCAATTCTTGACAAGGACAAACATATTGAGATGGGAAGTCTAGCCCTCTCTTTGTAAAAAATATTCCAATAGGCCCTTATTCAATATTTGCTGAATTCATATAAAAGGAGAAATGGGGAGATTAGAGGAGCCGCTTATGAAAATGTCACATGAAAACCTTCCATTAGCTATCTCTACGGTGGTAATCACATTGCAATACCTAACGGTATCAAATCAACACGTTGTACACCTTAAACCTATGCAATGTTATATGTCAATTACATCTCAATAAAAAACTTTTTTAGATAAAAGAAAACCTTCCAAACCATTGGTTAAGAGGCAGTCTCAGGCTGGGGAAAAGGATACGAGGAAAAGCAAAATTGAACAAGTGAGCTATCGCAAAATATACGAAGTCCTTTTCTTACAGTCAAAGTCAGCCGTTATTGGGTAGGTAATCCAGGTAAGTATCAAAGTTAGAGACTTGCCATGGCTAGATGAACAAACTGAATACACATGTGTAACTGAAAAATTTAGGAACAATAACTATTTGCCCAATCTGAAAAACAGACCAGTTTGAGGCCAATCTTACCTTTAACCTCAGCATTTTGAGATAATCCCCAATTAGAAATAGAAGAGCATGTTACACAGAGGATTTTCCAAAACAAAGATTATAACCACCAAATAGATTGAAATGACTCAGAAATTACCCACACTAAATATCCAATGTTTATAAACTGTTATCCTTACCTGTATATTTTCTTTATGAGTAAGAGGTTTTCCTGAGTCAAATGACTGAAATATCTGTCAAAATACAAAACATTAACATTACAAACAAGAGTATTGAGTGTTCTTTTAAATAAAACTGTCAATGTGTTCTAAACATATTTTAAATGTTACTTTATTATAAAAGTACTACATGTCCTAGTCACTAAAGACAAGTATAGTAGAAAGAAGAAAGTAAAAATCACATCAATCAACTTTTCTAGGTCATCAATGTTAATATTTTGGTGTCTTTACTACCAATTTCTTTTTTTTTTTTTTAAGCGAGCCATCCTGCTACCTGTTGGCAGCTCAGCGGCTGCTCAGCTTGGTCCGGGAATCGAACCGCTGTTGCTCAGAGCTCAAACTCTTGAGCGAGCTCTTAACCAACTGAGCCACTCGGCCGGTCCCTACCAATTTCTTTTTGAAGTATTTTAAAATTGTATATATTGATTTGTATTCCCTTTCACTAAACATTACATCATAATCATTTTCCCACACCATTGAATTATTTGTAAACCTCAGTCTAATAGCTATGTAGTGTTCTACCCTGTGAATGGAGTATAATAACCTGTTTTGTATTGTTAGACATCTAAGAGGACTGCTTCTCACCCTCATACCACCATATAATAACACAGGTGACTATTTTGTCTGTATTTCCGATTATCACCTTTGGATGGATTCCAGGAAGCAGAATTACAGGGTTATAAGAATATACTGAGAAAACTGAAAGGGCCTGGCTTAATTTACACTTCCACCCACATTGTATGAAAATGCCAGGGTTACTGCACTTTTAACAGCATTGAGTGTTAGCACTTAAAAAAAAATTGGCCAGCTTAAGGTAAAATTGCTTACTCTTCAGAATGACTCTTTTTGTGGTTCTTTCCTTTTTAGTGAATTACCTGTTAATGTGTTTGGCTCTAAATATAATGCTGAATTAGGAAATATTCAATTTCTTTGCCACAGGAGATTGTTATATCATTTTGGAGGGTACATCCCTCTTGGTACAAAAGGCCTTTTCTAAAAGGTGCCCCCTTCGTAGATGTCAATACTGAGGCCCGGCCCATCTCCCCTAGGTTACCCAGAAGTCATCAGCAGCTTCTGTGGACAGGCCGCTCACACATGAATGGTATCTTGCTTCACTTGGGCCTCTTTGCCTGGGTCATTCTGTGGCCACAGAGCATTTAGGAAAGGCCGGAAGTGCAGGGAGCATCCTGTGCCAAGAGGGACAAAAGATTGCTCTAGCCAGCCTCTCTGAGGGTCCTGGTTACCTGCAGGAGTGGCCTCATTAATGTTCCCAGGAATGGTTTTCCTCCTTTCTCTATTTGGCTTTCCCACTCCACCATCTATTCTGGAATCACCTCTCAAATATGGTACTTGTTCCAAAATTTTGTCTCAGGATCCGCTTTTGAGGGACCCCTGAACCAAGTGAGTGTGTGTGTGTGTGTGTGTGTGTGTGTGTGTGTGTGTGTGTGTGTGTATGAGGGCACCCTGAAACAGAAGGCATCCTGTCCAGGGTGGGTTCCTACCTGGCACGCTGAGATTCCAGGAGAGGCTCCAGCCACCCATGACCCTGAACTGGAATAAGTGGGTTGGAAAATCATCTTACTTGTTTTTATTAATCTTTCTTAAATGTATGTATAGCTCACATTTATTTTAATGTTTAATATGAGAAGTAGTTTGGGTCTCTATTTAAAAGTCTGGTGATGTTTGTTTTTGTGACCAGAAATATGCCATAGGAACTTAAGTCTTGTTTATATCAATTAGCTTATGGTAAAATCGGCTTCATGATACATCGTTTCACTTAAAATTGCAATTTCCAAGAACCTATTGAGGACTTTAAGTAAGGACTTACTGTACTTCTTTCACAACTGAAATCTAATTCATTAATCCTTTCTTTAAATAACCAGTCTGTAGCCTACCCAATACCACTGGCACCTATTTTAATTATAAACCCTGAACACATTTCCTCTTTTAATTACACTTTTTAAATTCCCAACTGAAGCTGCAGATTAACTTTGAGAACACAGAATTTGAAGTCACAATCCACTGGGAGACAATTCACCCCCACTTGTGTCTTATGATAACTAGCTGATAAAAATGAAATTTGGAATTGACCTGGCAAAATTGGCTTCAGAACCCTTTATTTTGGTGAAGGCAGTGACCATTGAAAACTCTTTCTTGTTTCTCATTCTACCCAATTGGCTTCTCTCTCCTCGACTTCCTGGATTCTAAATGTGGATGACCCTAAGGTCATCCTCTGACTATACTTTTCTCTATCTGCCTCAGTCCCTAGATGATTTCATCCAGTCCCATAATTGTAAATCTCTACACTAATGCTCCCAAATTTACCCGAAGCCCCGGCCCCTCCCCCGAATTCCAGATCATATACTCTCTGCACCTACCTGCACTACATCTCCACCTGTATGTCTACTAGGAATCTCGCACTTAACTTGTTCCACCCCTGCCGGAGCGGTATTCCCCATCTCAGTTCATGAAAACGTCTTCCTACCGGTTGAACACTACAGTCTTACTAGACTCTTTTCTCTTCTATCCCACATCCAAACTATCGCCCACAAATGCTGTCAGCTCTTTCTTCACAATATACCCAGAATTTAACCCCTTTTCACTCTTTCTACCACTGTTACCCAACCATTGTCCCACCTCACTCAGATGACTTGCAAAGGCCTTCTAACTGGTCTCCCCATTTATCCCCATGTGTACCCACAGTCTAGTCCCCACACAGCAAGCAAAGCGGTCCTCTGAAATTTAATTCCTATCCTGTCCTTCCTCTGCTCAC